CAAAGAAAGTTGAAAGCAGAAAAAGAAGAGGAAGACCAAATATGAGATGGATCATTTCCATCAAAGAAGCCACAGTCTTGAGTTTACAAGAGCTCAGCAAGGCTGTCAAGGACAAAGGATTTTGGAGGGCATTCAATCAAAGGGTCGCCATAAGTCAGAGCCAACTTGACAGCACATAACAACAAAAAGATGCATTTTCCCATATTATATAAATTACATTATTGATGTTAGTAGCATTCCAAAAACTGCAGAACAAGTTAGTCTAAATACTAAAATCTGAACTCACGCCTGTCTCCACTTCTAATTGTTTATTTACTAAATTGCACTATTAAGCATTTTTGTAAGTTTTTTGAGTAATAGGAAGATCCTGAAATCATGTATTACAGAGATTAACAATTACCACAACACCAAAAGCAATTAAATTTAGAATGCGGGTGGGTGGGGGAACTTTAGTCATATAATTACTTGAATGAGATATGCTGATGGTTGGTAGAGATGGAACGGTGGAAATTTTAAAAGAGAGATTGCTACTTGTGGTATATAGGCTCATTCCACTGCTGCCATCTCTGGTAAACAGATTTTGCAGGCTCTTGCATCGTTCCAAAAACTTGCAATGCCTGTTTGATTACAGGCAAGAGTGAGACAAATGAAATGCATATACACCATGGGAAGCAATGCTTTTCTCACAATGCTTTCATCTTTCTCAAAACTACTGTCTGTCTCTAGTCTAAGAAAATCAGTGATATTTCTCCAAAAATCTTAAAAGATTTACAGGGATGTGCATGAATGCAGCTGACTGGATTTCCATTTCCGTTCCACTTCTTGTAGCAAAATATTTTAGCGGTAGGATAAAAGCCACGCCCAACCATCCTGATATGAGTGCGAAAATGAGGCAGTTAATGATACATTTAGGTGACTGGGGAAAGAAATAAAATTAAAACATCTAAAAATTCTACAGCACAAATCTCTTCATTGTTCTTGGCACCAATTCCTCCCTCAATTGATTTTATTTTTCCAGCATGTTTTTCCCCATCATATACCTATGCATAGCTGCAAAATTAACTGGAATAGTTAAGAGTATTTAAGTTAATAATGGCCAATATTATTTTGTTTTTCAAAATTTTCATGTACCTGAATGTTAGTTCCAGTTGGTTTTGTTAGCAGAATGGGCATTCCCTGTATGGCACCTCATACAAAACAGATCTGAATTAATACTCTTGTGCTGTTGTATTGGAACATATAGTTTCATTGCTTTGAAATTTGCACTCTTACTATTATTACATTGCATTTATATCTCACGCTTCTTCTTGCAAGGAACTCAAGATGGCTTACATAGTTCCATTTTACCCTTACTAGCCTGTGAGGTTCAGTAAAGTTGTTGGTTTTTTGTTTTTTTTTTTTACGGCATTGTGCTGTTCGCTTTTATGTATTTTATTTACTTTTTAAAATTGTGTAAACCTTCCTGGAATCTTTTTTGATGACATGTGCTATATGATATGCTATGATAAAATATGGTAAGCACACTCTCTTTAAATAAATAAAAGTATTCAGTGTTAGAAGCCGAATTCTGTTGTGCCTGATAAACTTCATGTGTATTAATAGCAATCTCATTTCTCCAAGTGCACTATCAAGTCGGGAAAATATCACCCCCACAAGAAAGACATATCAGCAAGCTGGAAGGGATCCAGACATTGTAGAAATACAAACATTCTTTGGGAAACAACATCCATGAAGAGTGGGGGAACCAAGACAGCCCAGTGACGACTGAGGGCAGTCTCCAGCACTGTCACTTTGCTTCCGCTAGAAACCTGTTGTGCTACTTTATGCAGCTGGCATACAAAGAGAGGTTGCTCACTCCAGTGGTACATAAATTGCATGTGTGGAGTGGCAGTGCCCAGTTCTGCCTTGGTAGGGCTCACTGACAGCTGTGGGATGGGAACTGTTGGTTGCACGGACTAGGGACTGCCCCACTTGGACAATTCCTAGTCAGAACCGCTCCATGGCATTGCTAGCTGATGGCAGGGTGGAGAAAATGAATACCACTGATTCCATGCCAGGGTATTGCTATTCTGCTAGAAATCATGGAGCAGCAATGCAGACATTTGATGGCCATTTTTTTGCAACGGGTTCACTTTATGATAACATCCAGTTTGGCCCTGGGATTCCCTTTTAGCATACACACAACCAGGGCTAACCCTACCATTCAGGAGAGTGAGGCAGCCCCCTCAAACAGCAGATGCAAGGTGTTGTTGAGCAGTGCTAGTTAAATTCAGTTATTTTTTGTGTCATAGCACCAGCCTTGTACTGCCTAAGCTAGCCTGTTTCTCTCCAGTGTAATGTAGAATAGTATGATCATCAGTGTTGAAGAAAGATGCAACTGCTTATCTAGTAAGCTTCTGAACATCCAATGTGAGATGAGTGCCACCGGGTCCTTTACCTCAAGCAGCAAAATATCCTGTGTTGGCCCAGCACCTAGCAACAAACTCAGGCTTACCTCGCTACTGTGTGAAACCCTTTTAGCAGCCTTGACCAAAGGCAGGCCTACATTTTCTGATCATCCACCCACCCCAGTACACTGCAACGTAGAACCATCATCACCAAGGATGCAACAGAAGAGAAACAAGATGGACAGTGCATGTTTAAGGCAGCAGCTATTCATTTTCCGTAAGGTCTGGTCTAATGTCCAGTCAATCCTAGCCTCTTAATGGGTGCATACATTGGTCTGTACACCTAAAAATATATATTGTGAATGGAGGGAACACATGTTTTCATTTAAAGCTTCTCTAGGATACATTTGGCATATGCAATAAGCAAAGCACCCTTCTGACACATCAAAAATATACAGGCTCTTCAAAAACCCAACTTCACATTCCTTCAAATTAGAGGAAAACAACATGTTTGTGAAACATATGGTTATGGGATATAAAAGAGAAAGTGGTGAAACAAGCAAAACTAGCTATGAGAGAGTTAGCAATCAAAGATGTAACAAGATCCCATGGGGACATTTCTGTAATGTTTGTATGCAAATACAGAAAGCACAATACTCAGAATATATGAAATCAAAGTTGTATTTTAACAGTCTCCCCCCCCCCAAACAAAGCAAAACATGCTGTTAATACAGTGTGCAGTATAATCAAGGCATTTAGATAACAAAATCCCTAGCTCCATTCCAGTTCTAAACACCATGAATACTAAATGCTTGTAGTTTAAAAATAAAATTCTGATGTTCACTTTTTTGCCCTGTATATCAATGACCACAACTCATTTTTAATTGGCACAAAGCTTATTTTCAGGGAGAGTTTTTTTAACTTGCTTTGGAGAACTGATATCATTTACAGATAAATCTCATAATTAGACAGCATTAAGTGTCAGAAAAAGATTTCAGGCCATCTTCTGACATTTACCATCTTTTTTCTGCATGGCTTCTGAGTTAGCAGTGAGATAAACAACTCTCTCTAAGTGAGGGATCCTGGGCTACAGACCAGTACCAGTCTGTGGCCTGTTAGGAACCAAGCCGCCCAGCAGGAGGTGAGCGGCAGAGAAGTGAGCAAAGCCACTCCCCAGGGTCAGCCCCACCACAGACCACCAGGCCCCAGACCCTCACAAGGAGCACGCAACCCAGATCTCCTGTTCCTCCTCTCCTGTTCCTACGAGAGCGCAAGCCCTGCTGTGGACTGCGTGTGCACAGGACCCGCACTCCCCTAGGAGCAGGAACCTCTCAGCCAGGAAGGGGCATGCAGGAGCACACACTGCGTTCTTGCGTGGCCGAGCGGGGGCTGATGGTGGCAGAGGATGAGGGGACCCGTTCCCACCGCTCCAGGTCAATGGGTGCCCACTCGGTTGGACAAAACACCGTGGCAGGGCATGTGCCACAAACCCAAGAGCTGCCCACAGGTGCTGGCAAAGCATGAGGCATCCTGGCACATGCCAGCAGGCAGCCATGCACCAGAGGAAGCTCTGCATGCTTCTCACGGGCAGATGGGCAATGGCTGCTGCGAACTACTGGGGCTGGCGAGGAGGGCAGCGCTCTTACCAGGTCCCGATGAGGAGCGCCACTGCCGTTTCTCATGGGAGCGCGAACCCCACCGCAAACCATACATGTGAGGAATCCAGGCTGCGCACTCCTGAGAATCCAGTGCCCAAGTGGAACCGAGGCAGCAGTGCCAGTGCTGACATTATTACAATGTAATAATGATAGAAATAAAGCGCACAATAAATGTAATTGCTTGAATCATCCCGAAACCACCGCCACCCTGGTCCGTGGAAAATTGTCTTCCACAAAACTGGTCCTTGGTGCCAAAAAGATTGGGAATCAGTTCTCTAAGTGATTCATGAATGAGGAAATGAGTATTAAAATAGAGAAACTGCAGACAGCAAAAACTTATTAAATGCTGCCTTCTACCCTAAAGTCCTATCTCAGTCTAGATTCCATTATGCCTCCAACCTTTCAACAAGAAAAGAAGTTACTCCATCTCTTATCCACTTAAAAATGTCTGGGTTGGTCAGGTGTTTTACCTTATGCAGACACAGCTGTTAGCAAAGCACCCTTACTACTTGCTACATTCACTTTCAGAACGCTGCTGAAACTGGCAGTTTCTCACCAAGTTAATTCCTTGCAATGCATAATATGTAGATTATCTTATTCATTCTCTCACTGTGCATTTCCCTCCTCCCCATTCCATTTCATTGGCTGTAGCTGGGTGTGGGGGAGAGATGGAGGGAAGAGCGAGAGCACATGCATGCCCTGTGTGTGTATTTGAGAGGAAAATGCTTAGCATAATGACAACAGTATATGAAGTAGGTTGCACTATGGAGGCTAAGGAAAGAAACTGACATGGGACTGCCATTTCCACCAGCAGCTCCACATTTCTAATAATGTGCTGTTCTGCAGCAGATCAGTGGAAATGGAACTTTTACTGCCTACTCAATAAAACAGGGTTGAACTGACCAGGGAAATTAAAAGAATTTTGTTGCCAATGAATGTGGCCTAATAAACTCACCTTTCTTCTCTTGGTAAACATCATCAAGGTGTTGCTCCAGCTTTTCTATTCGATCCATGAGATTTTGGTGCTCATTCTCTTTGCTCAAGGTTAGCTGCTTCAGTTGCTCCCGGCTCTGCAACAGGTGATGCCGGAGCTTCTTTTCCTTAGCCCCTCTCTCCTTCACTTCTTCACTCAACCATCGCAGTTTAGTCTATGAAAAATGGTATTTGCTTAATACTTAGAGGAAAGAGGATTATTACAGTGCTCTTCAGCTGTAGTTCCACAGCAAACTTCTACCAAATTCATTATGAGTTAGAAGTCAGGAAGATTTTGCAGTTGTAGTTCTGTCAGTACTCCTCATTCTTCCCTGCACTCTCCATTTCCCACATACACACACTCCTCCTGTAAACATTTTCTAGTTTTAGCTCCTTAGTTTCCTCTCATGGAAAGGCAGGTTTAAAAACACAAAACACAGTGAATCTCAGTAACGTGGGACCTCAGTGTCGCAATTATTATTTCATGTCAAGAGCTGAATCCAAAGACAGTTATGAATCTATATTACAGATGAAATATGGGGGATTCCATAATCTAACAAAACCTATCTATATGCATATTACATCTCTCAGTTCACCCATGTAAGCACTAGCACATGATGCATAGATAAATCCAGCAACTGGCAATGCTTCTGCCCTGCAGCTATATCATCAAAAAGTGATCAATACTTCTGGCTTTGAAGGAAGCTATCACCAATTTAAGGTATTTGCACGTTGACTTTCCAAAGCTTAGGGGAGCTTCTGGAAAACTTATTTTAACCACAGCACTTAAGAAAGCCTAGAAAATTATTAGAAGGTCAATGTTGTACATGAACAAACAAACAGCCATACAAAGAAAAAAAGCCAAACACTTTTTGAAACAAATAAGTTTCACATCCCCTACAGAAAGTAGAGAAAGAAGATCAGCCATGAATCTCATCAAAGAGCTCCACTTCAGGTTATCAATGTATTACACTGATTGCTGAATGTTGCTTTGAAGAGATTGTCAGAAGACAAGGCTTCTGGCTCAACAGGCATTTTTTTCCCTGTAGAAACACTCATATTTCTGATCTAATAAGGATGTTCCCAAACATTTTTGGTTGATTGTTTGCTCAGAGGAGGCACCTTCCACTTACAGTAGGGCTTTTTTACATTTGACATTCATGGTAGAGTGGCAGACAGAGTACACTGTTTTGAAGAATACAATGAGTATTTCTGACAGATGATGATGATGATGATGATGATGATGATGATGATTATAACATTTCTATGCCGCCCCTTGCCGAAGACCTCGGGGCGGCTTACAACACCATAAAATACATTGAAATACAATAGAACATAATAAATTACCATTAAATACAAAAATACAAAAAATACAGAGTTACAAATATAATAATATAAAATTAAAATTATCAGTATAAAATAAGTAAATAAATAATATAGGAGGAGAAAAGAGAAGGAAGAAGAAGCTTGTAGACCTTAAATAGAATGCCTATTTGCATTTCAGAATTTTTTATCAACTTCCTCCTCCTCCTCATCATCATCATTTGTGCACTGGTGCCTTTGATTTCAAGACATATCCTCTTGTCTATGTGATGTCACATTTATTTCTAGAACTAAGTTAACTGATACAGTAATTATACTTGCAACACATGCTACCTTTTACCTTTTATAGTCTTTATTGTGGAAGATTTTGGCTGACTTGTGAGTAAAAGACAAAGAAGAATGCTCAGAATAATGAGCAATAAGGAATACATGCAAATAACTAGTACTAGTTTCTCATAATGTGCCAAAGCTGAGAATAGTCTCATTGTTTTTAATGTATATATCACCAGTGTGAACTTTTTGGATGGAAAAACCTAATCAAGAGCAACGTCTACAGACCCCTAGCTGGCCTTGCACTGGTTATCAAGACCCAGGGGCAGAAAGAAAACAGTTACCAATTCAATTCTGCAAACATGTTTTATTTTATTTTGGTTTTTTGGACTTTTATCCCACCTCATCCTAAACAGGAAAGGCTACTAGAATACATAGGAACTACAGCAGTTCTTGTGCTTCTATTTGTGTAGAAGTTTCCATGAAACTGCATAACAGAACAGACATTTCTTTGAAAAGTCATGCAGACAATTCACAACACAAGTCAAAAGACTAATGAATTAGAAATGCTAAGAAGCTGGGCAACAAAGAACCCTCAAAGTAACTCTGCAATTTATTCATTACTGTCAAAGCAGCTTAAGAGGGGAAGGGGGTATCCTGCAACAAAAGAGGTTATCAGTAGCTTTTAAAGAAAAAGAGTTACGTAAAGTTAACATATGGACCTAATCCTAGCTGTTTTGAGTAGTCTGTGGTTGTTTTTAAATAATGAAAATAGTTTCCACAAGTATTTCAAAGTACTAAAGTGATTACAGATGTTCAAATCACATTTTAAAATCATTACCTTAAAAAGAAAGCTTTTGCTTTGTACTCCATTACTCACATCTAAATACCTTATATTTCAAATATAACCCTATTCAGACCTTTGATCAAATGTGTGACAGTTTAAAATGGGAAGAGTGTGTCCTGCTCACAATGTCCCTGTGTACCAGCTCCACTTTAAACTTATAGCTAAATGCAGTTAGAAGCTTCTTCATGATCAAGACCCCTGAAGTAGACCTGGTGAACATATAGTCTTCGGCAAATTTAAAAGAACTTCTTAATATGTACTGGAGTTCTGGGCTAGCATAGACATTGAATCACTGTATTTTTAATATTGATCTTTGAACCAAAGGCAAAATAAAAGTAAGTTTTTAAAATGGGCCCTATGTAGACATACACATTGCAGTGCTCCAAACACGGCTCAGGGGCAAAGCACGCCCCAGGTTCAATCCCTAGCATATTGGGGAAAAGCTCCTGCTTCAAACCCTGGAGAGCAGCTGCTCTATTGACAATACTGGACAACATGCACCCAAGGTCTGACTCAGTAGAAGCCAGCTTCCTGTCTTCCTATGATTCCAAGCTGAAGGTAGTCAGGAGATGGGGAGAAGAGCACATGTACGTGTGTGCGCGCGCGTGTGCACATACCTACAAGAAGTATTGCAGTGCGAAGTGCTCCTCCCTATGCAGGATTCCATCTAGCCAATTATGCAATGTATAGACAAAGTGAAAAGGAATGTGTTTTTCTTTTTCTCTTATAATACTAGGGCCTGGGGTCTTTATATCAAAACTGACTGGTGGGAGATCTAGGACAGATAAGGGAAGTGCTTCTTCATGCAACACTTAAGCCATGGTATTCACTGCCATGAGATGTAGTGATGGCCATCAATTTCATGGCTTCATACGTAGACTGAACAAATTCATGGAGGAAAGGGCTATCATTGACTACTAGGTCTGGATGGCAGTGTGCTACCTCCAGGATTACAGGCAATATGCCTGCGAACACCAGTTGCTGGAGACCTTAAGCAAGAGGGTACCCATCCTTCTTGAGTGATCCTGTTGACAGCTGTGTGAATAGGATGAGGAACCTGAGGGGCTCTTGGTTTGATCCAACATGGTTCTTCTTATGTTGTCTGTGTCCTGCAGCCTGTCAGCATGCTTAGTTGTCAGAGGACTGTTTATGTGGGTGGTTGTCATCTTAAGAGTTCTTTCCTAATGATTTTTCAACTCCTGGAAACAGTGGGTTCCTCCAAAGCACGCTGTTACTCCCTCTTGTTTCTTAATGTCCCCTCATCAAAACCCAGTAGCTGAATTCACTACTAAAGGGAGTGGACTGTTATATAAATGCACTGCCACAGGTAAGCGGGTTGGGGTCACCAGAAAATCCTTTCTTGAGAAAAGGAAGATTGTATGCAAATGTTAAAAGAATGAAGTACAGTGGTACCTTGGATCATGAACTTAGTCTGGTCCAGGACTCTGGTAGTGACCCAAATTGGTCGTGAGCCAAGTTAAATTTCCCCATAAGGTTCAATGTAAATAAGGTTAATCCGTTCTGTAACCATTTTTTAAATCAGAAAAAGGTGAAGCAAAGTGACAACAACAAAGATTGTGGCCATCCCCCACCCCCACCCCAAGCACAAGCACAAGCGTGGCCATCTCCCCGCCCCCCCAGCACAACCAAGATTGCATCTGTCATCCCTGCACGCGCCCGTCATTCCTGCACGCGCTGGGGGGTGGGGGGGAGAGACGGGCGTGATTGCGGGTGCAATGGGGGAGGGAGAGATGGGCACAAATGATGTGCAGGGGGTGGGGAGATGGCTGCGATCGCAGTTCTGTTCGTGCAGGGAAGGGGTGCCTGATCAGAGGCGCGCTCCTGCAGGAAAGACAGGCGGAATCTCAGCCATACCCCCCACGGATCCCGTCTTTCCTGCAGCAGCGCGCCTCTGATCATGCACCCCTTCCCTGCACGAAAGCAACTGGGATAGTGGCCATCTCTCCACTCGGGGGGGGGGGGGGGGGGGGGGAGATGGCTGCGATCTTGGTCACCACCCAAAGCGGTGTTCGTGACCCAAGTCAAAATTTTTCAGAAATTTTTGCTCGTGACCCAATTTGTTCATGAACCAAGGTGTTCGTGAGATGAGGTACCAGTGTAACTGTTTTGATCTTAGCCACAAGAACAAATATTCTGTCTTATCTTACTTAAGAATCTAGGCTAACTTATGCAGCTAATGAAAGGATCATTTCCAATTTCAGGTAGAAGATCACATATTTGAACAGTCTTCTACTTCTAACTTGACCCAAGAAACATAGTGTGACAGAAAAGAGGTTCAGACCCAGCCTTCCAATAGCACAAAAGGCAGAAATGCACATGTTAAAATGACAATTAATATATGCATATAGCATCTTGTTGGTAATTTTAACAATAAAATACTCATGTTAACAGAAAACTCACATTTACTTTACACTGAAAAACTGCTTGCTTGGTCCCACTGCATGTGTTCCAATTTACCACAAGCAGTGTACAATGTATGCATAATTGCTTTGTGATTGCATATCTATAAACCCATTGCAGCTAAATTGAATATTCATGGATATGGTTGCACCATCACAGTTTCACAAACATTGAAACTGAAATTATCACAAACATTTAATTAGTTCAGTCTGTGTGCAAGAACAAATACCTCCAGAAAGGAGAGTGCTTGTATGCTAAGCCATCATACTTTTCATTTATTTCTCATGTGTGATTAATGTCCTTCTTATACTAAAACATTTTATACAGGGACCATATTTAGGCTCAAAATGGTTTTTGTTTTTTTTAGCAAAGCACAAATACTTTTACGCATTCACCAGCACCTTCCATTCCTCGACATATTCTGCGCCGCCAGCTAGAGCTCCTCATGCTTCACTGGTGGCTCCCAAACTTCAAGGAGATTGCTGGGGACTGCTTTAGGAATGTGGACAGCAGAAACTCTACAGGATGCATGGGACTTGCCACATGGCCCTCTAAATTTCAGGAAATGTCTCTGGGCTCTTTAAAGTGTTATCTGTAAATGCAAGGAACTCAGGCGATGAGAAAACTGGTGAGCAAAACCGTATTTCTTGAAAACCGATTATTAAGGCTGTTTGGTTTTTGGGTGCAAATGTGACAAACTACAGTATTTCTAAAGGGCCCTTCATTTCAAGACTCACCTATTAATAACTAAGAAAGGATTCAACTGGCAGATTTATGAATCAATTACTACATGCCCTCTGAAAGGTCCTCTTGATACTTGCTGCCTAGAATTTCAGCATCAACAATCTGAATAGTGAGTCTGTTTCCTCTTCAACCCCTGCACTCCAATTCAAACGCTTATCTCCACTATTTATAGTGATATTCACTGTTCCTCCTTGCACATTACATAAGTAGCCTATCAATAACTACAGGCAATCCTGCTAATAAACAAATGCTATTTTGCCCAAATCAGTTGGTCAACTTTTCTCCCCGCATTGTGACAGCAATATACCATAAGGACAAATCTTGTTTCATGAAACAGAAAATGCCTTTCAGATCATGAGATACAATTAAGACAATTGAAAGATATGAAATGAGGTTGCTTAACAAAGTTGCCAAAGCAAAAAACAGTGATTAGAAGTTTACAGCCACCTGTTTGATCTGTTAAGATGAAATAAAGAAATCAAAGCTTAGAGTCATGATGCATTAGGTTCTGTATGACCCAGTTCACACCATGAAAACCTACAGTTTGTTAACCATGGATTCTCGGGAGGAAGCAGCAGCAAGTGGACTTGCTCCCTACTACTTGGCCACATCTGATAGGTTAAACAAGCCAGAGACAAACTCTCTCTGGATTGTTCCCTGTGAAGTCTGTGGGCTGTTTCATCAAATAAACTGGGTTTATGAGTCTTAAAATTTTTCTAAGCATATGTGAATTCAATGCAATGAAGTTCGAGATTTCAGAAAATAGGAGTAAAAGGAGAACTTTTCAAAACTTCTTAAAATATTTGGAAAATACAATGCTGCTCATTCTCCTTAACATGGTAAGAAATGGGTCTATGCTGTGTACCTACACACTCTCTCCTACTTGCTCATGAATTTCCTGTCCTTTGATGTTGGCATATATCCATAGCTGAACATACTGCAGCAATATGTCTGCACCAGTGTTTTCAGTAGTCATGTCCAGGACCAAATTACATCTGGCAAATGAGGTTAAAAGCGAGTTTGCAAATGAGGGTTTGGAGCTAACCATGGCTAGTGAAAAAACTGATGGAAATGTAATACAGCGCTGTAGTTAGTTTCGAATATGGAAAGATGGAAGAAAGAGAGGGAAATGAGAAGAAAGAAACAAAGAAGAAATATCCGTTAGGGTAAGCCCAAGATACATGATAGAGTGTTCCAAATTATGCATGGTGGGGATAAGAAAGAAGGGATGACATTTTTCTTTCTCTCATAATATTTCAGCAAAGGGTCATCCCTTTGAAATTGATTGGTAGAATACTGAGGACAGATAAAAGGAGAGATTCATAGAATAATCTTTCTTAACAGTATGTTCTGTACAGTATAGAAGCACCCATCACACTTTTGTCTTTTTAAATATCAGAGTACTCTATCTGTAAGACTGAGGCATGCCTTCACCAAAATTGCGCAGTGACATGTTGTGCCAGTCTCCTGAGTATTCTCATATAAGCACTGTCATGGTCATCTGATTCATTCAGGTTAAAAGACATAGCTAAATTTTAGCTTAATCTTTAAAAATCAGTACTTACCTTTGTTTCTGCTAACCAGCGATGAGGGTCATTCTGTATACCAGGTGTAACTGAAATTGGCTAAATTAAATGTAAAAATAAGCAGATGAATAAATCAATAAATAGAGATATGGATTATGCACAAGACTGGTTAAGCATTTTCACTAAAATGCCTATTTTTAAATTGTACTGGTTCAACCACTTTGCTGGATCTCCAAAAAATCCTATGGCAGTGCAGACAGCATCCTGTGGCCATAGGATTGCACTGTATAGGGCAAGGGTACTCAAACTACAGCCCGGGGGCCAGATCCGGCCCACCATGCCCATTTATGCGGCCCGCCATGCCCATTTGGAGCCGCTGCGGCCGCCGCTGCCCACCTCGCCCCACACATGGGTTGGCGGCAGTTTGCTCACTTGGAGAAAACGATCTCCAAGCAAGCAAGCTGCTGCCTCGTGCGCCCGCCTCGCGATGCGTGACTGTCCCCGCCTCGTCTCGCCCCACGTGCCCGCCAGCGCCTCGCCCCACGCCACACCCCCATCTCAGTGCACACATCCGCATGTGCCGCCCCCGCCCCCTCGCCGGCATGCGTGCACCACTGGCACCAACTTTCCGACCCACGCCCAGCACTGGCACCTTTCAACTGGCCCCCTGGTGAAAAAGTTTGAGGACCCCTGGTCTAGGGGTTCAGTTTCAAATTTCATCAATATCCTTCTACTTGTCTGCCATTTCCACAGCATTAATTACAGTTTAAAATTTAGAAAGTGCTGGCTTTTCAAAGACTATTTGTCAGAAAATTTTTACAAATAACAACAAACTTCCCCTGTTCAAAAAACTGCAAAGCAAAGGATCAAAACTAAGACATTGTCAGTATCTTTTGAGTGTTTACTTGCATCTTCCCAAACTTCAACAAACTTCTTTGGGTGGCAACTCATTCATCCAACTGGTAATTTTGTTGTGAAGCTTTAGAAATGCAAGATACTGCACAAGACTTATATAATAAAAATTGAAACTGGTTAGGCTAGGCAAATCTGTCAAACTAGATTTTGCCTCGTATTTCCCCAATGCTAAATTTGTTCTGTGCCAATTCCACGTAGAATGACATTTTTCCCTCTGTCAGCATGAAAAATGAATTAAAATATTCATTTGCATATGTATTTTCTTTTCAAATGTACTACTTTTAAAAGCCATTTTCCCAGGGAATAAAGCAGGGATTCCCAAGCTTTTTGGATCCAAGGGGCTTATCGGGAAATTTCAGAAACTGCTGTGGGCACCATCACAAAATGCCTAATCAGTGAATTGCTGCTTTGGCATCTACCTGTCATGTCTATTGATCTTAGGCTACATCTTTTTTCAAGTCTAATGGTCACTGCAACATGTCTTTAATAAGGGATCTCTAATTTGACTATTGCTGGTAGAACAATATAACTAATGTTTCTTTGAAAAATTTATGTCTCTAAGTAGCTTCTTTTTAGGAGCAGATTATTACACAAAAAAATTTCATACTGGAACAGTCTACAGTATTTACAGATGTCTTACCAATGTGGGAATTAACAAATGTTCTGTATAAATGGACTCTCAGCACCTTTTTGACAGCTAAAGGACTGATATTACTGGAAAGATAAGCATTGCTCCTCCTCTGATGCAAAGGACTGAGGAACTTACAAGGCTTTCAGTATTTGAACAAGTTAGTATCTGAACTGGAGAACCCTTTGCCAATGCCACAGAAGGTATTCATGGAGGCTATGAAGCCTGAGCTTCAGAAAAATGGCACCACATTTGGAACTCCTGAAATAAAATATTGCTATATGTGTTTTCAAATATACACATTTTTGCATGCAAATGTACATTCTTTGTACGCTTTCTTTTTCCAAACTGCATAGCAAACTACAGAAATGTATGGATCACAGTGCAAAATGCACTCCAGTTCGTGGTTTGATAAGAAAAGTTTGAATTGGGGAAGTTCACATTGAAATGCAAACCAAACTCATTTCTCATCCATCACCAGAACTGGTCAACATTCGCTTTGTAGAAAACAGTGGGATTTTTCTCTCTTTTAGAAAATTCAATAAATATTTAATATTAAAAATAATATGTTATCTTCATGATTTGCTAAAGCAGCAGGGCATATTTTAAATGCCCTGGAGTTAGAAATCCAGGCATCATCTTGACACACAGCATGAACAGGTTATGGCTATAACTCCCTGCTTCAAAATACGAATATTATTTAGTAGGGGAGTTAATGTAGAGTAGCAAACTATGCTGCTCTCACCAGGCCAACATGATATAATACGAAATATGGAAGTCTATGACTAGGCAAAAATAATAGGATGCCATTCTGGCTTCTGGTGATGGCACTTTTTCTACCAGGGTGGGTACACAAGAACTGCATCAGATTTCTGCTGAAGTAGTAAGAGGCCACACTTGTGCATGTACCCACACATACCCCATGCACACAAACTTGCATACAGACATGGCTCATGCAGTACAGACACCCCACTCATGCACACACACACCCTGCTCATTCACTCAAATCCAACTCTTGCTGCAGGCAGTTTCAGAGGCCCGGTATCTCCTCTGATCTGATAAAAACAACACACACCCAGAAACCTCAGTTCTCAAACCACCCTAAACCACCTCTGGTCACTGCACCTACAAAGGATGTTATATTGCTGGGAATAATGCATAATAGGGCAAATAAAGCTGGAGCAAGCCCTCTCTAGGGAAAGGCTGCAACGTCTGAGACTGTTTGCCTTGGAACGAGACATTACAGAGGTGTATGCTTTTATGTATGATGGTGAACCAAGTGGATAGAGAGGCATTTTTCTCCTTCTGTCCTTCCTAATCCTTCCCTGCTGAGGGCCTTGGGGGCTGCCAGACAGAGCTTTCTCACATCCCTAATTTACACAAATATTAGATGGGATTGTAATTTTTTTCTTAACTGTACTAGTATATACTGCAGGCAGGGGAATGCTCACTTCAATACTCACTACATAACTTTTATGCATATAGAATACCAGACATCAGGAAAAAGAACACTACGGTAATTCAACTCTTAAATTTTTGAACAAATAAATAAAATAAATAAAATTATTATTGATATGCCAGTTCTGTATATGACTTAGTTTTTTTTGTTAATTGTGAAGCTTTCGGTCATGTAATCCTCACCCTACAGCCTTAAACTTCACCACTTCATCTACTGTTTATTTCTACAAATTAGGTTTAAGAATGCAGGCATTATTACCCATAAGGTAGACTGAAATTACTTATTAGCATGGATGCTTCAACAGAGTCCTGCACTGAGCAGGGTTTTGGACCCAATGACCTTGTTGGCCTGTTCCAATTCTGCTATCCTATGATTCTATGAATGCTTAAAATGGACAAGGCCATTTTTAAAAATGTAGAAGATTAGCAAGCAAACCTGTTTCATAAAATGCCCACACCAAGAGGGAATGAAGCCAGCAGCCATGCATGAAGTAGCTCTTGCATGCACCTGGACAACTAAGCTCATATGAGGCCTTTCTAACCAAAAGAGGTTAGGTGAGGTGGGTGGATACTAGAGATCAGGCTTTTGGTGGGGCTGCTCCAATCTCCTTATCTCTCCTCCAAAATACCCCAGAGTTAGATGGCCAAAAGTGGCCAACTATTGGAAATTCTTCTCTTGCCTCTATGTTTGGGGGCTTACAGACATCTCCACAGGATTACACCCAGTTTTAAAAATGTTCCAGTGCATTTTAGGTCCTTCCACTGCTGTTATCAGGTCCTATTCATTTTACCTTGGGTTTATTCTGTGTCTGTTTTGTTTCAGATGCTATGTTTTGTTGTCCTTAATAGTTTATCTTTTCATTTTTATTTTGTGAACTTCCCAAAGCAGTCTTGTTGAAATTTAGTAAGCAAATAAAATAAACAAACAAAATAAAAGCCCATGTTCATTTAGTAAATGAACAAGAATAAAATCTGATGCTAAGTACAAATGTATAATTACTGTGAATTTTTCCACTGAATCCCTCGAAAGGACTTCACAAGCTGCATCAATTTCATTTCCTATCATAGAAAGGATGGATTCCTGTTCATTTTGAAGACACTGTAGTTGATCATGAAGCTGTAATCTGACTTCTTCTATCCTCCTTAGGTGGTCATCTTCACTACTTATCCTTTTGTTCTTTAAAAAAAGGAAAGAAAAAGATCAAAAATTATCATTAAATGAATGGAAATTTCCACTCTTAATGTTAAACTCTACATTTGTAAGAGCAAAAGAAAGCACAACAGAGAAACATAACTAAGCTTTTCTGGAGGAAGGGGAGCATTAAGGGGGCGATTAATGTAGTTTACTTGTCATAGGTAGTAAGTGAACTTGCCATTCCAAAAAAAACAACAACTAAGCTTGCAATGGAATATATGTATTCTGATGTCAGAATCACATTAAGTCAATAAAAACATAACCAATAAAGTGTGTAGAAGATATTTTAACAGCTGTATGTGCAAATCCATGTAAACCATATAGTACATCTGTGTATCTCATTCAAAAGAACTGCTCTGCCTACTCTGCAGAAAGACCACAAGGTGTTGTTAGTTGGACTTAACTGAAAATTGTTTCCAGAAAGAGCAACTCTGTCCCCAGAACTTTAATTATACTTACTAAATACAAATCTAACAGACTGAAGATGGCAGAGGTTTCTCCCTCAAATTAGCAACTCGTTTTCTCCTAGATTCCTTCAAGTTGAAGGCCACCATCAACATGTTTACCAACAAGGTAAGCACTCTACTTGCAGTGCCAGATGCTGCTATACATTGCACAGCTGCTTGACAGGCTATGCAGAAGGAAGGAAACACTAACTGCCTATTTCTCTCAATATACATAAAGTCAGGCCCAAAGTTGATCTAATACCAAATTTCTGCACATTTTCACAGTACTACCTCTCCCTTCCTTCAGATCTTTCCACAAAATTCACAAGACCTATGTGGTCTTGGTTTCTTCTTCTAGTCTTCACTCTTATCTGTGTCCAGGCTTTAAGTGATGGCATTTGTCTTCATTCTTCCTGCCTGCCCACAGCGCTCTCATTTCCACCCACTGCTGTCTGTGTTAGATTGTAGCTGCAACTGCATACAGATTTTTGCAGGCATATGTTACAGATAATTCCCAACATATAGAAAATTGACATTCACATATGAATGATGACAATGCAGAAAAAAGCAATCACCTCTCCAAAAACTTGAAAAATACATACCAATGAACGTTGGCAGTAACCTCAACAAAATTTTCAACAACTAGTGTTATGTCCAAAAAAGTACAGTTCTGAACTTTCTGCTTTCAGATTTTTGTGAAATGCATCTAGAACTAACAGCTTGCATATGTGAATGCAAGCATTCCTTGAATTTTAGCCACTCACAGCAATATATCCATATTGATTACTGAGGCACTTCAATAATCAATAGTCCCTGCCCTCCATGGGAATACCCCCACACAGTTGACTAGGAAGGGAACTCAGAAGACCAACAATAAGCAGTGGTTTGTCTGTTGCCATCCGACTCAGCCAACACCACCACTTGAGTTTGCACTGTGCACTGACCAACCAGATCTGCCCCAGGATGGCAGGGCAGACCAGAGTGAAGATTTTTCCTCTTTTGCCTAGTTCAGGGGAATAAACAGATCCTGATCCAGCATCATGCCATATGTTTTTTCAAGATGGGAACTTGTGTGTAGAAGCAAGGATCTTTTTCAAGATGCTTCCATGCCATTCAAAATAGCTCAAGTGAAAGATGCAGAAACTCGCTCCCCCAGATAAAACATCCATGCTAACTGCTCTAACTTTTCTGTGTGCTCTGTTCTATGATATACCCATTCAGTTTCAATGGCCCATGTATGATGGGTAACAATCACAAATCTAAAAGGCATCAGAATTTTAGTAAAACAGTATCAGGTGCTGAGCTGCAATATTTTATTATGTGCTGGAGATGTTTTTCACATGAGTTGTTGGAATCTGTTATGACAAGGCATGTAATGACTCTGAAATGATGAATTATGAAAACTCTTTATAGTTCTGGCATTGCATTTACATTTTATATGCAATATTTCAAATGCTTTTCAAAAAGCTGTTTTAAAGAAAAAGCTTTCCCACATTCATAAAACTCAGAGAAAGCCTCAAACCTACAGAACTTTAACTATGAATTAAAATTAGGAGCAAAGCATTACATTAACACATATGATAGACTGGTTTACAATAAAATATTTGGCCAGCTACCTGTAGACTTAGGGCAACTAAGACTGGTCCAAGTGTAGATACAAAGCCACCAGATACTTTTCTCTTATCTGGAGAAAAGACAGGTTGCTTACCTATAACCATAGTTCTTCAAAAGGTTATCTGTGTATCACACAAGGTCAAGATCTTCTCTTGCTGATACCAGAGTGTAGGACACGGAATAATCAATTCAAGGTGTGACAACCCAGATTCAGGCTCGATATCAGGAAAAGCTTCCTCACTGTCAGAGCAATGCAACAGTGGAAACAGCTGCCTAGATGAGCTTTTATTAGTTGAGGAACTTTTGGCAGAACGCTGGCCAACTGTCCTGATGCATGTCCTGATCAGGTTCCTACCCATTCCCTCAGTTCCTTGAGACCTTTCATTGTGGCCTGGGAACCAAGAGAAAATGTGGCAGCACCACTGACATTGAGGTGGCACCAACTAGCAATAGTCAGTACCAACATCACATCAGCACTGACACTGAAGAAGGGACAATGTGTGGGCTGTACAAATGCACAGATAGCCACTCAAAGAACTACAGCTGCTCATAAGCAACCTACCTCTCTTTATGGCCTCTGTGAATCACAGAGAAAGAAAGTATGAGAAAGAAGCTGACTCACCAGAGGTGAGCTGGTGCCATTGGAGTAAGGATTAAACGACCTCACAGCCAAAAGAGTAGTCCGCTCAAGCTTAAACTTCCAGTCACTACTGTTTAATAAGCATAAATAGAGTTGGCCATCACAGCTGGAAGACACTGAACTGGTGACACCTCAACTGGAAAGAGCTGTAACCTGGGTGTTGAGCTCCAGTTCAGCAATCTTGTAAGCCAGTGGCATCCACAATGCAAAGAGACTTGCAAATCTTTGCAAGACTTCCTAGAGCACACGAAAAGTTGCTGAAATAAACAGACTTGTAGAAAAAGCCAAAGCCTACCACATGTCAAAGGAATGCTATGTAGATTCCAGTGGCAAAGAAGGTGAAGGAAAGAATGCAGAAAGAACTATATACTGATTTCAGAGAAAATGTGCTATCATACAGGAAAGGAAAGAAATAGCTGGATGCAAAATTACACAGTTTACACATCAATGGGCTGATAGAATGTAGCTTTTCTTCTGGCCATTACAAGAGTGATTTTGTACTGCTAGTAGCTCAAACTTTTTGGAAGTTAGTGGCTTGAGGATGATCCATGAGTTCCATTGCAAAATACTGACCAGGCAGCCAGAGCCAGATTATGCACTCCCATGAGAAGTGATGAACAAGAAGAAGAAAGAAAATCAAGGATCCATCAAAATCAAAATCAAAATCCATGAGCCTTTATAGGCTCATGGAATGCCAATATTGCACTTAAGCAAACCTGGACAAATGATAATGCTATTTGTCTTCTAACAGCTCATCCAAACAGCTTTAATGTGAGAAAGATGATCTCAGTCCACCAATTGTATTGTCTGTGGTGAATGGTATCTTACTATTGCTGCCATAGGCTTTGCATTTTCTTCTAAGTTTTCTTGCTCCTTGTACACTACAGACTTCCTTCTGAGAAGCTGCAGCGGCCAAATAAAAGAGATTTTCAATCCGGACCACTGCATCACTAATTGAAGGTACGATAGGATCTGAATCCATTCAGACTGGCAAAGATTAAGCCATGCTATTTTCCTTATGTTTTAATAAATGGCAACATTCAATCTGAGTCATCAACTTGAGTTTCTGCATTGCCATCAGAAAAAGAAGGTTAAGGCCTATAAAGTAAACATGATGGTGGCAAAGCAAGGTAGGTCAGACCTATGCTGTGTTGCAAAAGCAGATGAAAAAAGAAAAGCAGGTTTTCACAATAATCAACATGTTCTCTATTAAAGGCTGCTCATCACTTTTGAACAGCTGCGGTCGTGCAGATTCTTTGACCCTATAATTTTAAGCAACCAGCAAACACTGGCCCAGTTATTAGACTCACATGCCATAACAAAGGTAGAGAAGCATATTCCCACTAGGAAGGTCATGGCCCTTCCACTTCAACCACTATGTAGTATTTATTAAGTTAGTGGAACAAACATTAAGCTGGCATTAGAGCACTAAGAGAAGTTGAGCCAAAGGGGAAAACTCAATACTGGGGAATAAATGAATTGGAAAAGAGCCAGCATCACTTAAGCAGCCTAAGGCGGCGGCAGCAGAATATAGGCTATCCCAGGGAGAACAGGATGGCTGCTTTGATTGTTGCCATTTAGTTTGCCTTTATTTCTTCCCGAATTGGCAGTGAGAACCACAATTGTTGGTGCTCTCTGTAAATTCTTCCATCCAGCAAATAAGCAGAACCCAGAGAGCAAATCATACCCAACATCTGAAGATTTATCCAAAAACAAAATGATTTAATTTTACACTTCAGTGCTGAGGTTTGTTCTCATTTGACATCTTTCACCCAAAATGACAAGTGTCCCAATGACAACAACTTAGTTTATAGTGTCAACATGTGTTGGGCAGAAGAGGCTAAGGGAAAATTATTAACAGAGCAAACCTACCTCTGCATTACACAGACTGGATGAGAAGCATCACTGCAACACTGCCAGTAAAGACTGGAGCTTAGACAGGATTGAGTCCCACCCTCTGCTCTGGTATAACATTATGAGGTGGCATAAATTAAGATACTCTCATTAGCATTAATGGAAAGTCCCACAGAGGTAGTTTTCCCTACCTCTGACCTCACTCACATAGGATCACAGAATTCCAAGTAACTAAGCTGCCAACCACCACATAACATCACAAGAATAGAAGCGCCAGTCTGATGCAGTGCTTAAGAGCATGGGACTGGGACTCAGGCGATCTGGGTTCTAGTCCCAGGAGCCAACTGGGTGACTTTGGGCCAGTTACAAAGTTTCAGTGCAACCTACCTCAGAGGGTTGTTGTGGTGAAGATAAGATTGAGAGCAGGA